CAGCCGGCCCTACCCGGAGTCCGCCTGGGGCCGTGCCTGGGCGCTGCGCGTTGGTCCGCCGGAGTCTTGCGGTGGCTTGGGAGAGTGAGTCTAGCGCTCAGCCCTCGAGGTTGCCAAGTGCCTTGCGTTTCCACATTTTCCCGCCGGGGCGCATGTAGCCTGGCTTTTCTCTGAGGTGAGGCCTACAAATGCGTGGGGCTGCCGCCGACACCAGAAGGAAAGACCGGCATTTCTTCCTCAGGAGAAGAAAGCAGGTCAGAGGCCTCGCCCCTTCCTCTCAGCAGTTTCTTCAAGATTTGAAAAGGGGAGATTTGACTCTCTCAGTCTGATCCTTCCCAGGAATCTTCAGGATGTACTTAATTTAGTAATACCTCCGTCCCCCTTCTAGTTCAAACTTGTTATTTTAGATAGTAGGGGTGGCGATGAGGTAATGGGTGGAGGTTTCCAACTTGGGTGTTTTGGAAACAACTTTGCCTTGTTCTTCTTCAATTGCCGAGTCAAACTCTATCTTGAAGGCTTGTTTCACGTCTCACTTTTTTCCTAGGAAGTCTCCTGTATTGTTCCTCACTCTTTCTGCTTAGCCGCTTCTAACATCTCCTCCTTTCACACACGAGGCTTTGTTCTGTCACCTTTCTGGCAGCGTGAACTAGACTCTCTATATGTGTTATTGTCGACTCTGCAAGTAGATCATAAGCTTCTTGAGGGCAGGGCCCCAGACTTCCAGCAACAGGAAGTGACAAACCTTTGTAGTGAAAAGTGCTCTGGACTGGAATTCAGGACACTTATATATGTGCATGTGTGTGTACAGGCGCACCCATGTGAGTTTGATTGACACATAATATTTGTACATATTTTAAAGTGCAGTGTGATGTTTTGATTCATGTATACGTTGGGTAGTGATCAACTCAGTAATTAGCACATTGTTTCACCATAAAGTAAATTCCTTCCTTCTCTTCCTCTCTTCCTTCTCGTTCTTTTAGTTGTGCAGGCTGGGCTTGAAGTTGGGATTCTCTTGCCTCACCTTTCCAGAGTGCTGGGATTACAGGTGTGCACCACGGAATCTGGCTCCTGATCATTTATTGTATTTTCAAGTTCTTTAAATTTCTTCTATTTTGAGATATATAACACATTGTTAATTATATTTACTCAGCCCTTCTACCGGACCCAGGAATTTACTCCTATCAAAAACATTTGTACCTGTTGAGCAATCTTCCTCTCTATTGTCCTCAGTCTGTGGTAACCACTATAATACTTTTGACTTCTATGTGATCAACTTTTTAAGTTCTACTTATGAGTGTGATCATGTGTGGGTACCTGTGCTTTTTTCTCATTCACAGGTTGAATTTATTTTTGCTTTTAGTTGTGAGGACTGGATGGAGAGGCTCACACATGCTAAACATGTGCTCGATCACTGAACTACTCTCCTGGCCCTCAAATTCTTACTTTATAAAACAAGATGATTATTCTTGTTGATGCATGTATGTGTGCACATGTGTGTGTGTGTGTGTGTATGTGTATGTTACTACCAATTTAACCCAGGGCCTTGCACATGCTAAGCAAGTGGTCTATCCTTGAGCTACCTCCCTAGACTCCTTTTCTTTGTGCTACTACACTTAGTTTCTTGTTGATTTTTAAGTGGTCCTCTAAAATTTATGTAGTTTTTTAGTATCCTGAGTCAGAATTACTTGAGTCAAGCCCTATGCCAAATACTTTACAAATGTTAACTCATATAATGTTTACTCAGCTTCAAGAAGGAGTTTTGTTTTGTTTTTACCAGGGATTGAACTCAGGACCTTGTGCTCATGGGGCAGGCAGTGGCACTGCTGAGCTAAATCCCCTGCCCCAAGAAAGAGGTGTTTTTAATATTTTGATTTCACAGATAGGAAAAGGAATGGTCCAAGATGTTAAATAATTTATTTTCTGAATCCAGAGCCCAAACTCTCACCCACTTTATTGTGGCCTTTCCTTACGGGGCCAGTCACAGGATAGAGTGTAAGTCCTTTACAGAGAGTTAATGGTTCTTTACAAAGGTTGCTGGACATGTTGATACACATCTGTAATCACAGCACTCGGGAGGCTGAGGCAGGAGGATAGCTTCGAGTTCGAGTCCAGCCTGAACTACATAGCAAGAGCCTGTCTCAAAAAATCAAAACAAAAAGAAGTTATTATGCAATTTTTGATTTACGGTAGTTGCTCCCTGAAAAAAAAAATAGAGAGCTGAAGAAACATTGTTTATGCCAGACGTATATGCCAACTATGGCTATACATTCTTGGGAAAATAATGCAATTATAAATAATGTAAACAAAGAAAGACTAAACAATAAAGTCAAAAAACAGATTAACAATATAAACTTTTTTTCATATCTTACATAATAGCAAGAATTATTTAATGGAGAAGAAAGACATTCTTTATAGTCATAGGTTGTGTTTGTGGACTTCTTAACATATGGGAAAATGTAAATATTTGATATAAAGGACAGATGTTTTGTCTGTATGAAAGCTGTTATTCATGTGGTTGGAAGTATATTCTACCCACAATTTTCATGTGAATATTTTGTATATAGCAAATCCAGTAATCTTATATTTAAGGAAAAAAATAATTTGTCTTCTTCACCCAAGGGCTAATCCTCGTACTTTACAACTTACCACCTCTTAACTATGAATAACCAGAGACCAGATTTAATAAGAACTTGAAAGAATATATCATAAGATCCAAAGAGAGCCAGTCTTTAAAAGCCAGTCATTCTCAGAATTCAGTTGACATAATTTCAGTTTAGGAATTGAAAATATGGCTGCTTTCTCCTACTTTTCTGATTTTTTTTTCTTTCTGATACTGGGGATCGAATTTGTGATCTTGTGCTTGCCAGGCAGATGTAGTGTCACTGAGCTACATCCCTGGCCCTACTTTTCTAATTTTTATAAATGAACAAGGACTTGGCATAATTATAGAAATTGCAAATTACTGGTATGATTTTGTTAGGTATAGAATCACAGAATCTTCTTTAAGAAGAGATATTAGAAGTCAGTCAATCTGATTTCTTCATCTTACAGGTGAAGAAACAGGCTCAGAAGGATGTTATTAACAATAGTGTTGAGAAAATCTCAACACTATTAACAATAGTGTTGCTTATATCTATACACATAAATACATATTAAGATGACATAAAAATTAATTTCAGGCCACATATGTTAATAGCATTGATAAATAATTACTATGTTAAACATGGAAATATAGTAATATTTAAGTACTAAAGATCTAAAAGTTAAGAATAAGCAGATTTGGGCCAGGGATTTAGCTCAGTGGTTCCACTGCTTCCCTTGCAAGTGCAGGGACCCGAGTTCGATCCCTGGTACAAAAAAAAAAAAAAAGAATCAGATTTGAATAAGAAGATTTTGGCCAGAGGTTTTCTTCCTTACTACTTGCCTCCATGAACCCTACAATAAGGGAAATGTTCAGATCCCTCCTGGCCCTCCTGCCCCATAGGTAAAGAGAAACTGTCTGGTCTGTTTTATTTTTTGAATTTCAGAAAAATTTTTACATGGTTTCCTGGATAAAGCAGTGACAAAATCAAGAGAACTAACCCTTTTACTTATCCTGCCCAAACCACTTGTGTGATATGTTAGCTGTCTGGTCCCTGCTTGACTCAAGACGGTATAGAAGGTGAAGCATTCCGGCTTTATTGATGTGATGTGCTTTCTATGAACTAAAAGAACTTGAAATTAATTATTTTACATGAAATGCCTTCTATGAGAGTGATCCAGACCAGCAAATTTTAACAACTTATTTTGTATGTTAACATTTATTGAAGACTGTCTTGGTACTAGATGCTGAGTTAAAGAGTTTTATATCATTATCTTAATTATTCCTCACAGCAATCTTACGACTTTTATTCCCATTTATAGATAGGGCAAGCAAGGCTTAGGGAAGTTCTGAAAGGTCCTTTTTATAGTGAGTGATTAGCAAAAGTTGGACTTTGTAGCCTATCCTTTTAATTATCACATGTGAAATCTTTTGTTTTCCTTATCATCATCATCACCATCATCATCATCATCACTATTATTTTGTGATTCTGGGTATTCAACCCAAGGCCTCACACATGCTAGGCAAATATGTTAGCTTTTTGTTGCTGGGACCAAATACCTGACAGTGGCAAGTGAAAGGAGGTGAAGTTTAATTGGGTCCTGATTCCAGAGATTTACTCCATGGTCATCTATCTCCAAGGCAAAAATATGGCAGAAGGGGATGGTAGAGCAGAGTCACTCAGTTTATGGTGGCCAAGAAGCAGAGAGGGTTAGAATGTACATCAGAATGGAAGGGGGGCAAGTGATATAATACCAAAGGTCACACCTGTATAACCCACTCAGACACAGCCAGAAATGTGTTTTTCTAAGCCTCTACATGGCTCTAAAGTCAGTCAAGTTGACAATTCAGTTTAATTGTCATTGCAAATGCTGTACCACTGAATTATATCCCTAGCCCCTGAAATTTCATGCCTTAAAAAAGTACAAGTACTAATGTAATTAGGACTAATCTTAAATTTTAATTTCAGATTTAAAGAATGCTTGTATTTTATAAGCCTGGTATTTATTATGAATTTATATCCACAGTATAAATTACGTGAGATTTGTAATATAAAAATATATGACTGCACAAAAATAGAAAAAAGTCTGTTTTTTAATATCTGATTTTATTGTCAACAAAATGGAAGGTCTCAAAGTAACAGTGATTTGCTTGCAAGACTGATAGTTCAGTGAGGAAAGAGCATAATTCTATAATACCATAAATATAAAATTATCATAGAAAATGAGGAAACCACATCCAGTTACTGTCACATTTTAAAAAATACAGCTGTTTTTAGGGGCTGGGGATGTAGCTCTGTGGCGCTGTGCCTGCCTAACAAATGCAAAGTCCTGAGTTTAATCCCCAGTACCATAAAAAAAAAAAAAAAGCCTTCACAATACAGTTGTTTTTTTATAGTTCCTACACACACTTTTTCTTTCTTTTTCCTTTTCTTTTTTTTTTTTTTTTTTTTTTTTTTTTTTTTTTTTTTTTTTTTGGTACCAGGGATCAAACTCCAGTCCCTGCGCTTGCAAGGCAGATGGCGGAACCACTGAGTTAAATCCCCAGCCCCTTTTTTTCTTTCTTCCTGTCTGTTGTAGAGCTTGGGCTGGAATCCAGGCCTTGTACATACTACTTAAGTGCTCTACTGTTGAGCTATACCTCAGTCCCTGTACTTTTATTTAAAGGAGATTGTTACATGCTCACAATTTTGAATTCTACTTTTTTTTTCCTTTTTACTGGTATATCATAAACATTTTCTGTGTTTATGTGGTTTGTGTTTTTATGTATTTTATTTAATGATTCTTTGAAACAGTAATGCACTACCAGTTATTATACTAGATATTTTATTTTTTCTTCTTTTCCTTTTTTTGGCCTGAATTTGATCCCATCTGAGCTTTGTATAGTTATGGAATTTCTCATTCTGACTCTGAGAAGACCATATCCTTGGTTTTCTGATAGTCTCATCTATCTCTACCACAGCCACGGTAAAGGTGCTAGAGATGACATACAGTAGTGACCAGGTCTTGTTTTTTTGAGACCTCACTATGCAGTTCAGGTTGTCCTTGAACTCCCTATATAGCCAGCTGAGGCTGGCCTCAAACTCAGGGCAATCCTCCTACCTCGGCCTCCTGAGTGCTAGGATTGCAGTTGTATGCTACCATGCCCAACTGGTCTTGTGATTTGATAGTGCAGGTGTCAGTAAAAGAGTTTGAGGCAGGGTATTTGTCTCTTTATGTAACTGCCTTATGTTTAGGTCTGGCTGCCGTGCTTTCAATTTTTCAAGATTAATTTCCAATTTTCATTGCTACGTGTCATTGCTTCATTGCTTTGTAGCTTTGAGCTACTCATGCGTTCCTTTTCCAATGAAAGCATCAATAGTCAGTTTAAATTGATACATGTACCAAGAAAAGTAACAAAATGATAGTTGTTTGAATATTTTGTTTTTGAGAGGAGCTCTTACTAAGTTGGAAAATTGTCCAGGCTAGCCTTGAACTTGTGATCCTCCTGCCTCAGCTTCCCAGAGTACTGGGATTACAGGCATGTATCATCACATTTTGCTGGTGCTTTGACATTTTTAGGGCTTGTGAGCTATAGCCTACAACTACTGCAGGGAAGTTGGACTGTACAATTTAGACAATGTGTATAGAAGATAGATAACAGCTTCTTTAAATTCCATTGTCCTTCCATATATATATATATATATATACATATACAAATATATGTATATATAATACATTATATACATATATATATAATATAACATTTTGCCTTGTTATATTAAACAAATGTGTCAAAAAGCCAAAGATGTTTCTTTTCTTTGCTCATGAAGAAAATACAAATAGTGCAGGGGATACAGGTCAGTGGTAGAGTATGTGGTCAATGTATATAAGGCCCTGAGTTTGATCCCTTGAGCAAGAATAACAGAAACCAAAACCAAAACAAACAACAAAAAGAAAAGTAACAACCACAAATGTATCTAATTGAGGGCTGGGGCGATATAGCTCAGTGGTAGAGTGCTTACCTAGCATGAGTAAGACTTAGGGTTCAATCTCAGTGCTGCCCACCAACAAAATAATTGAGAATAAAATAAAATTATTTCTTGTTTTACTTTATAGCTGTCCTATATCATCAGCTTGAATATTTCTTCTTCTATATGTGTAAGAGTAGAGTACACTGTTCTGGACACTGTAATAAGCACTTTGCATAGACTGACTCCTGTAAATCCTTTCTACAACCCTATGAAGTATAGGTACAGTGGACCCTTGACTTAGAACTGGTCTGATATAGAAACAGCTTGGGTTAGACCAAAATTTTAGTTTTAACTTCTGACCAGCGTCTCAAGTTACGACCTGAATGCTAACTGCTTGTGCTTTCAAATGGTCTCAGATATAGATTTAACCCTTAAAGAGTTCTAGAAGGAACATTACAGCATCCTTTTCTGTATGAGGTTAATTGAGAAATCCTGGGTCAGTGTCTCTCTAAGGACACTGAGATCTGCCTGCATACAGGAGGGAGACTTTGAAGGCTGTGGAGAGAAGCCTGAGCCTTTAGTTGACCAACTTGTTACAACCAGCCATCGGGAAAAAATTGAGTTCATAAGTGAAGGCTTCACTGTACTATTATACTTCTCATTTTACAAACGGAAAACTTAGGGTAAGAGGTCACCCAGCTAGAAAATACAAAGTCCACCTTTAAACTCAATAATCTGGTTTCTGAGGATCTATTTTTTAATAACATTGTATATTTCCCCTAACTGACTTAGCTCCAGATTTCATCCTCTCTTCCCTCCCTCCTTCTTTCCCTCCCCCTCTTCCTCCTTTCTTTGTGGCTCTCTTTCTTCCTTTACTTTCTTTCTTTCTATCTCCCTCCCTCCCTTCCCTCCCTATTTTCCTCTCTTCCTTTCTCCTATCCTTGTTCTTGTTTGCTAGTTAAAAAAATTTTTTTTGAGAATGACGTAAAGGCATCCGTTGAGTCCCTGATGGAGTACTGTGCTTGTGTGAGGCTAGTGTTTTGGTACCTATCAGCTGCAGATGCCATAGAGAAGTGCTAAAAGATTTGTTCTTCTGACTCTAGAAATTCCTCCTGGCTTCACCTCTTTCTGACCTCTACTAACTCTGTCCCTCCCCCACTTGGAACTCTGCTTTCATCTTGTTTTGGTTTTTATCTTGCTGCCTCCTATTTGAATTCTGTTTCATTATTTTGCTCTTTCATTAATTAAAACACTTATTTAGGAATGATGTAAAATTTTATAGATAATAGATATCATCTCTCCGTTTTTAAAATGTGATTTCTTACTTGTGCTTGAATTTTATGTATTTATTTATTTTTCTGGTACCAGGGATTGAACTTGGAACCTTGAGCTCGTTAGGTAGGCACAGCACCACTGAGCTAAATCCCTGGCCCTCATCACTTTTTAAAGAATTTGCAAATCACTGTAGAATAAATAACCTAATATTTAATTTGTTAATTTTAATTTGTTATTGTTTAGTAATAATTTTAGTAGCATTTAATTAGATATTTAAACTTTTAGGGTTTTATTATAAAAACTACACAGCAATAGAAGTGATAGTCCTTTCTTTCCAAAATGTATAAAATGAGACTGAGGTTTTAGTCTTGGTTGGGCCACTGTACAAACATATGATTTAATTTAACTACTAAGGCTCTATTATGGTATTTGCCCAAGAAGGCAAGGTGTTTGGGAGATAGTAACATAAGCTTTGTGTGCCCAGTTTGTGGAAGTTGAATGGAAAGAGAAGAGAGTAAAGATTTTTGAAATGGGGTGGGATGGAATTCAAGGCCTCATGTCTGCTTGTATAGTCGAGACTGACCTGGAACTCACTATGTAGCTCAGGCTGGTCTCGAACTCACAGCAATCCTCCTGCCTCAGCCTTCGGAGCGCTAGGATTACAGGTATACGACACCACGCCTGGTCAAGGAAACAGCTTTCTTAACACTATACTGCTGACTTTGCTTACCTGCCTTCTTGAGTTCAGTTCAGTGAGCTGAGGTTTTTCATGCCCAGAACTTCCTGGAACTCACTATGTAGCTCAGGCTGGTCTCGAACTCACAGCAATCCTCCTGCCTCAGCCTTCGGAGCGCTAGGATTACAGGTATACGACACCACGCCTGGTCAAGGAAACAGCTTTCTTAACACTATACTGCTGACTTTGCTTACCTGCCTTCTTGAGTTCAGTTCAGTGAGCTGAGGTTTTTCATGCCCAGAACTTTTGCTATGAGGAATGAATTTCTCCTCCTCACTTCTTCCTATGACCACAAAGCCTTAATTAGATGATATTTCTTCAGGAAGTCCTTACTAGACTACTCTTCAAAATAGTTCCCTTCTCTTATTTTCTACCTCAGCACAGTCTTTGTTTTTTTTTTTTGTTTGTTTTACATACTCATTATAGCTTGAAAATTTAAATATACATTTTGTGTTGGCTTCTTCTTGTAGAATATAATGAAACTATTTCCTGGAAGTTTTTCTATCTGGTCACCGCTTTGTTTCCCCAGCATACAGCTCCTATCATATAGTAAATGCTCATTATATGTTGAGTGAATGTTTATATTAGCTGGGGTCCAGCTAGGCTGCTGTAACAGAGTCCTGAAAATAAAGTGGTTTAAATGTAGCTGAAATTTAATTCTCTTGCATGTGAATGTCAAAGGAATATAATTGTCCAGACAGCTAGGTGTCTTAACATTATAAGGTCATTTATGAAATAGTTTCCTTCCATCATATTGTTCTGACATTCTATAGGTCTTATCTGCATGGTTGAAATGATACCATCCCCATGTCTTCATTCAAGTTCTTAGGAAGAGGAATAGAGCGCAAGGAATTTCCTGTAAAGGAACTTGTAAGTTGCATATCACTTCTACTCACATTTTATTCTGATATACTTAGTCACATACCACACCTAACTGTAAAGTATGCTAGAAACAGTGTTTCTGGGTGGGTGGCCACAAGCTCAGCTAAAATGGTAATAGGAGATAATTAATGCTCTATATTGATATTGGATACATACTTTTGAATTCACTCTTACATTATCAGAATATGGGATAAAATAGACAGTTGAAGCCTGTGTTTTAGAAATCCAGGAGACTTAGTTGTGTCACAAAACATTAGACACTAAAAAGAATATCAAATATGCTTCATGTCATAACTTATATTGTGGGGTATTGGAGGGTTCATGCAAGAAATTGTGCAGAGGGAGTTCAGGGTAGTTCTGGGTCTTATGGGAGAACACGTGGCTTCGTTAGAATTTTGGGACAATGGAATGGGAACTTCTCTGCCTTCAGCAAACTTCCAGAAATATGCTATTAACTGTTGTGTCCAGGTAAGACCTCACTCTAATCCTTCCCTCCATAGAAGGGTGCTGTTTTCAGACAAGAATATTATTTGGTTCCAAATGAGTGTGTGTGTATGTGTATGTGGAGGGGGCTGGGGATTAATCCAGGGGTTCTAAATTACATCCCTAGCCTTTTTTATTTTTTAATTTGAGGAAGGATCTCACTGAATTGCCTAGACTGACCCCAAACTTGTAGGATTCTCCTGACTCAGCCTTCTGAATAGCTGGGATTATGGTCATGAACCAGTGTGCCCAGTACTCATTCCAAACCTTGTCATCCTAAATTCACCATCAACACTGGCTGAAATTCTAGGGCTAAAAACAGAGTGAACCAGATTGTAACTATTTTAAAGGACATGGATAAAATTTATGTTCCACTGGTGTACCTGATATAAAAATAACTTTTTGACAAGAGTAGGCTGAGCGTGGACTTGTATGAAAATGCTTGCACCTGTCCTCCTCTGTAAATGACCAAAGTCACTTTGGCGAAACTTGTCAATCAGCTAGCCTCTCCATGTGATCAAAGATGAGAGGCAGGAGCCCAGCTGCTTCTACCACCTTTTTTGTTTGTGGTTACGGGAGATACTGGGCTTGGTGTTAGGCACTCCTGTTTTAAATTCTCTCTGCACTTAGGTAATTATTCTCCCATTTCTTCTCATATTTGGCTAGAAGTTTGGGGAACCCACTTTGACTCTTTCTTGCCTTTTGGCTAGTCAGATTCCTTCAAGCTGAGCTCACAGGGGAGTCTTTATGAAACCATGTCTCGCTCTCTGCAGGGATAGTGAATTCTTGCTCTGCTCTCTTCCTTTAGTATTTTCTCCTTGTCAGAGCACTTCTCACTTCTGGTCTTAAGTTCTCTGTGACTATTCTTCATAAATTATTCCAGGATAGAAGCCATATCTTATTCATCATTTCCCTTTACCTTGCGCAGTACTGGGCATGTGGTAGGCAATGGAAAATGTTTGCTCAATGAGGGAAAGAACAAATGATCCTTTGGGTTCTTTCTGTAGCATTTAAGTTGTTTTAACATGGTTCATGACCCCCTCCCCCTGTTCCCCACTATCCAAGGCTAGGAAGACAGTGTCATTTTAAGATTTTCCTGGTTTCCAAAATATTCCCTCACTTGATTACTGAAGTAAAATTGAAGCTAAGAATTTTTAAATGGAGAATCAATTGGCCTTCACCTTTCATTGTACAATTAAGTGTAAAATGGCCTAAAATGTAAATGTTGCTTGAAATAACAAGGACTAAAGCTTACTGAAACTAAGTTCTAACCAATCAGTCAATCAAAAAGTGTAAATAACTGATACTAGAGTCTTTTCTGTTTTGACAGAGGGTGGAGGTCAGAGAAAAGTTGGTGTTTGTGCCTTCATGGAGACAGAAGGGGAAGGAGGTTCAAAAGGTCATTTGGGTAGCTATAGAATATAGAGAAGGACACTAGGAGACACTGGTTTTGGACTTAAGTATTTAGTGTCTCTACTTTGGAAGATTAGAAATATGTCACAGCTTCATGTTTACAGTTTTGTGAGAACTCTGTTGAGAACTATATGGTACAGGAACAAGGTTTTATGGGATTTGTTGAGTGTTGAGTGTTTATATATGTGTGCATTTTTAAAAAGTTGCTTCATTGAAGAGAAATTCATTGCCAAAGGAATTAAATAAGAAGTCTTATAATCTAGATTGTACACTAAAATATTTTACCTAGTAGAACAGTTTGAGTATTTTGCATGATTGACTGATACTAAAGATTGTTCTGGACCAGGAAGGAGTGAAGATATATCATGACCTGATTTTGAGTTGGAGCCTCATAAATGGGGGTTGCTATAATGTACATTTTGTTGTAACTTGCTAATATCAAAGGATCTCTGATATCTCAGATTATTCAGGTTGAGCTGCTTACATAGCTAAATGTACTTTTTAAACTTCTGATTATTTTCTTAGTGTCTTTGGAGTAGAGAGTGATTATATATAGAGGCTCCATGTTATGTAACTGCATGGTACCTTGTGATAAGTTTGCTTTTTAAAAAATCCTCCTTGAATGGGAATTAAATTAGAGTCTGAGAGTTAGATATCCTAGGTTTTTGCTTCTGGCTCCACAACTGACTAGCTGTATAACTCTTTACAAATCATTTCACCTCCAGGGGTTGAAGTGTGACTGTGTGAACCTCAGTGCCCATTCCAAATCTAACACTTTCTATGTTTTCATTCAGTAGTAACAACTAAAGTACCTCACAGACCATATCAGCAGAGTTTGGATTGGAATGTATGTCTTAACCTCTGTTTTTTTTTTTTAACTTTAAAAATTTTTAATTGATGTATATAATATATACATTGTATAGTAGTGCATAAAGGGTACTAGTCTTTAAAATGGAGTTAATTATATTTAGCTAAGACTCAGCCCTTTTATTCATTTTCTGGGAATTGAACTCAGGGCCTTGCTAATGTTAGGCAAGCGTTCTACCATGGAGCTACACCCCGAGACCTAGATTCAACCATTTTAAATTAATCTGATAAATACTATATATAATCATGTAACCACTATTATAGTCGAAAATGAGCCATTTATATCACCCTCAAAAGTTCTTTTGTGCCCCTTTGTAGTCAATCCCCTCCATCTACCCATAGGTTCTGGCAACTTTTGATCTATTTTCTAGCCTTATAGTTTTGCCTTTTGTTTTATAAACTGTGTTGCCTCCTGCTTTATAGACAGTGGAGTACTACTTTGCCATAAAAAAATAAACGAGTCATTTGTAGGAAAATATACGTGCCTTAAGACCATAATATTAAGTGATATAAAGCAGATACACAAGCTTAAGTATCACATTGTTTCTCTTATATGAGAAACAGAGTAAAAATAAAGAATACATTAAAAGATAGGTAGTGGGAAATAGGGAGCTAGGTTGATAGATATATTCCCCTCAGAGGGGAAGAGGATGAAGAGATGGAGGAAAGTGGAAGGGAGGAAAGGGATAAAGGATGAAAAAAAGAAATTAGGATGTGTTATGTATATATACTAACTCTGCACAAGGAATGTAAACATTGTGTACTACAAACAGTTACTTAAGAAAAAAAAGAAAGGGAATCAAGAGATGGGGGAAGTGGGAGGAAGGGAAGGGAAAGGTAATGAAAAAAATTAAGATGTATTAGGGCCAGGGATTTAGCTCGGTAGCACAGTGCCTGCCTCACAAGTGCAAGGTCCTGAATTTGATCCCTAGTACCAGAAAAAAAAATTAAGGTGTGTTATATACATGTACCAAAATCCCACAAGGAATGTAAACATTATGTACTACACATAGGTACTTACAAACTAAAATTTTAAAAAGTCATATAAAGGAAATCATATTGTATATAGACTTTTGTTTGTTTGTTTTTTGGTGTCAGGGATCAAACTCAGGTCCTTGTGCTTGCAAGACAGGTGCAGTGAGCTGAGCTAAATCCTTGGCCCTGTATATAGACTTTTGTGTCTAAGTTTTTAAAAGCACTTTAAGATTCATATAATATTTGTATAATTGTCACCTAGATCAGAGAACCTTTCCAGCAACATCTGCAAAAGTTCTGTCAAATCCTTTTTGTTAATTTGATAACCACTCTTCTGACCTCTATCACTGGATTAGTTTTCCTATTTGTATATTTTGTATAAATACAATCATATAGTAGGTATTATATGACTTTTTTCTTAATGTCTTAAAGGTCCATTCATGTTATAGCTAGTATAAATAATATGTTCTTTTTTTTTTTTTGATGTTTTGAGACAGGGACCCACAATGTAGTTCAGGCTGGTCTTGAACTCACTATGTAGCCCAGGTTGTCCTTGAACTTGCAGTAGTCCTTCTGCTTCAGCCTTCTGAGTGTTGGGATTACAGGAATTCACCACCACACCTGGCAATAGTTTGTTCTTTATTTTAAAAAATCACTGCATAGTATTCCATTGTATGAATATACCACACTTCATTTACTATTGTATTGTGATGACATTTGGATTGTTTTTAATATTTTGTTTATGGGTGAGGGACAGGACTACCCCAAGATGACCTCAAAATTGAAATCATCCTGCCTCCTGAGTGCTAATGTTTGGCTATTCTGAATAAATCTTTTTAATTTTTCTGAGCTGGGGATCAAACCCAGGGGGTTTGTGCATGCTAGGTGAGTGCTCTACTACTGTGCTCTAAGACTGTAGTATTTACAGTGGTAAATATTTTATAAATAGTAAATATTTTATGAATAGTCTTGATTCTGGGAAGAGTTTGCACTCATATCTCTTGGACATATTCCTATGAGAGGAATCATTGGATCAGAGCCTAGACGTGTGTTTAGCTTTTGTGGTTGTTACCCAGGAGTTTTCTAAAGTGGTTAAATTAATTTATACTTTCACTATCAATGTCTGAGAGTTCCAATGAGAACAGGAGAGATGGGTTCAATATTCCCCAAGTGGTACTTTTTCTTTTTCTTTTGCAGCTGCCTGTCTACATCAGGCACCCTGTTACCACTCCAAAAGATACTTTCTTTGG